AATGGATAAGTCTTCTTCATTAGTTTTTAGCTGACAATCATTGTGATCTTTTCTCAATGCAATGATCAACTGAAATGCAGGCGTATTGACAGGTCATTCCAATACAGAATCAACGAAGTTGGACCATCGATTTGTTTATGGATACCATAGAAATGATAATAAATGGCCCCTTGTTTTTTTCTTTTATTGATTAAGTTTCAGTCTGTACAACCATCCAGACCATGCACCTTTGTACGTCGGTTTTGGTTGCCCATTTGGATGAAGAATAGGAGAACAGGAAAATTGAAAATAGAGTCGAAGAAAAAATTGAGAACTACAACAAACTATGACTGTAAAGAAATTTGGAAGATGCACAAACGCCACTGTTTACGACAAGCAGCCATATCACACTCAGTATTTCTAATCATCGGTTACGATCATCTCGAGGTCCACAGCCAGGGAGCCAGCCCAACGGGACCTATGTGATCGAGTCTCTTGGTTAGGGCTTTCACACCCTTTTCCCAAGTCTTGGTTTGACCGCCCTTGGCCACCCACTGCCTGCCTCGACAAAAATTGTTCTATTGATTAAATCATCAATACATTTTTAGGATGGAATACGAAACCAGTCAAAGTCGTCCGAAGAATACGAAGAAGTGAGACGATGGCAAGCCAGTGATAAGATTCCAACACTATTCCCCTGGGATAAAAAAAATGACAACCACAGACGTTAAGTAGTAGACTGTGTACTATACCAGACCGTGTCTCGCTCAGATACAGACTAATTCTAGTCACTTCATATTACAATTAAAGCATACAACCATGAACCATGAATCTTACTTATACTCTTACGACTATGTATTCTGACGCTTCTCCAACGCGCACAAAACATTCGACACCGTACACACCCTCTCGTCCTCCCAGCCTCCCTCCAGCTCATATCTAGCTCCCCAACACTCCTCTATCTCTCTCTCGGGTTGTTCAGACGATCGTACTAACAGTAGTGCCTCGGGCGGAAGTTCTGCCACTGTCCACTCTTGTCCTACCTCGACTAGCATCCAAGTCTCACCGAATCACCCACCAGTTGAAGCCCTTCTCCGCCCTCGACGTCCTTTCCAATTAGCCACGTTTAATGTGCGTACTCTGATGCGTATAGGACAACAGGCGTGTTTAGCTCGTACGCTCGAAACCCCAGCCATCGATGTGTGTTGCATCCAAGAAACTCGCATTCAAGACCCCAGCTCCACTATCCGACTGATGTCCCCGTCAAACCCATCAGTGAAGTTTCACTTAAGCCTCNCTGAGGCTGCGGCTTCCGGTCTCGTTGGCGTCGGCGTGGCTCTCAGTGAGAGAGCTGATGCCAGTCGACAGTAGGTTGTGCGCAGTGAGACTTAGAGGTGCGTGCAAGATAAGCAGCCGTCGTCACAATAGACGAAACATGTTTGTCGT